TTTGGGTATAAAACAATCTTTAATTAACGTATTTTTTTTTACCAGCCTAATGTACATACTTGCAAATGTACACCTTGGCATATCCATATCGATTTCACTGCGAACATATGCATCTTTGTTCTTATACTTTAATTTTAGTTTATGAAGTCTACACTCTTGAAGCCTTTCGACGGTTTTTTTTTTAATACGAAACTCAACAAAAATGTTTACTTTAAAAACAGTCGAATGATAATACGAATTTAATATGGGAACCCTTGAAGAAGTGGTGGGTATCTATATATCTACTATTATAATCGCAGACGGTTTAGTTTCAACGTACAGCGCGCAAGTCAATACTTCTCAATTGAGTTGGAGAGTGCTGAGTAATAACTGGGCCAATCCATGTCAAATTGACCAATGTTGGTTCTCTGATTCCTCTTCATTTTCAGATTCGAAAGAACAACTGCCATCTGAATCCAGTTGATAAGACTACTTGGGATTTGGAACTGCGAGTAAAGCTATGCTTCCTGGAGACAATTTGAGGCGCTTTTGGCAGTTAACTGTTTTATTTACATTCTTGCTTGAAATCAAGAGATTTGTTGCTGTGTCGAAGTCTGCCGTAACTTTTTTGTATTCTTCCGCCACACAGTGTATTATTTCCACATTCTAGAAAATATTAATTACATTATTTTATGTCGCCCAATTTCAAAACAACGTCAACAATGTTTTAAGAAATGCCTGCTAAAGACGAAACAATAACAATTACAAAATATAAACCAAAGTGTAGGGCGGGACGGGAATCGATTTGGAAGATTACCGAGCGCAGTATTATCTAAAATTGTATACTTGAAACTGAATGTCAATGTTTAATTTGTTGGCGTTATGTGATTTATGCAACAATTGCTAAAATACCATTTTGGTCTTATTTTTTTAGGTATGTTCTTTTTAATGAATATACATTTTTGGGATTTTAGTAAACTAGGACTGAGTATTTTATGTTAAAGTAAAACGATGCTAATTTAGATTTATTTTTAGCAATTTATTAATTTCATTAGACCCGCAAACTCGTTATCCGCCACTATTCGATAAAGTTTGTATCTCAGTTTATTTACCACTCCTCTTTGACTTTAAACAACACAATTTTAGCTGCTGGAAAGTGCAGGTTTTAATGAAATTTTCATTTTTCAGGCCTACTAGGAATTTCATTTTCTTCGAGTAATTTATTTGAATTTCATCTCGGCCGAGACAAATTCTTGTATTACCGCTTTGAATAGAGAAAGCCTAATTCATAACCTTTCCAATAGTATCCCACTTTTGTAAATAGAGCAAGAAATATTGAACTTGTAACGGAATTTCGTTGACCCACCTTGATTTTTTATCAATATTTTCCACGTACATAATTTAAAAAAAAAATATTTATTTTTAAGTCCATTTTTGTCAGTTTATCATTCATTGTTATAGGGAAATTCTAAATATCAATTTTGGGCATTTTAGCCTTTGTAGTTAGTTAAATATTTCAGTTTTTGCCGTTTTAAAATTGCAGTTATATAATAGGGTGGCGTAGCAGTAACTCTAAATTACCAATTTTTTGTAAAAAGCTGCGCCTATCTTATAACATTCCTTCTGAAAAATTTCATTAATCTATCTTCAATAGTTTTCGAGTTACAGAATTAAAAGCAGCTAGATGGGTAAAATCTTACACTGTGCGCCATATAAGATCCACCATTTTAGATTTTCCAAAACTTACTTCAGATTTAAGTTTTATAAAAATTTTATGATTTTTTTAAAAGTCATTGGCTACCCCAAAAATCTCCCAATAGACAATTTCATAAAACTTATATTTTTTAGTGCAATTATTGGGATCGACCATTTTTGATTTGGAGGAATTTTGGTCAGAATTTTCCTTATATCATAACGCAATTCTGCCAAAGGAAAAACCTTAATTTTTCTTATACAAAATTCTAAATATCACAATTTCCAAGATTTTTCAAGTTTATTTTTTGATTACCTCAACAACTGCTGTAGCTATGAAAATGGTTGTTGTCTAGTTTTAAAGTTGATATCTACGGCTATAAAGAAAGAAATTAAAAAAAAAATCTAATAACAAAAATATTTGTAGAATCTTGAAATTCCAGAAAAACCGGAAAAGCAAAAACTTATAACATTTTTTGGCTCGCATTATTTTTATACAATCCCTCCAACTGTTCTTAAAAAATCCTGAAATTTTCACGTTTTTTTTTTGTAGATATAAAATTTTGAACTTTGAAACCATTTTTCTTTGCAAATTTTTAACAAAGTTATGTAAAACAATTTTTATTCAATTTATTTTTAATTTAAAGTTTTCAGACAACATTTTTTCAAAATTCGAAAATTTGTATCTTTAAAAAAAAACTTTTAAATTTTCAGGATGTTTTAAGATCAGTCTGAAATTTTGGGCTTTAACGATTTTCTATGACTCAAAATCCGGTTTTTTTTATTTTTTGTTTTTTTTTTACAACTCCAAATATAGATACCCTTTAGAACGACATCAAAACCATTTTTGTTTCCTCTTTCTAATTCTGCCATTGAAGATTTTCATTATAAGCAGAAATCATTTAGTTATGATGACAGAATGAAAATTTTGAGAAAAATTGTATGGACTTTAAAGGCTTTTAGATTGAACCTTATCCAAGCAAACCGTGCCTATATTTTAGGAATTATTTGAAACTAATGTAATGTTATCGATTATTGGATAAGATTTTATAATGGAGTACAAAAGGGTATAATTGAATGTTAATAAGTGAAATTTCCGCTTCGAATATTTGAAGAATGATATAGGATAAATGGTTGGTGAAATGAGGCGATGGGTGATCAGTTTTTTTTTTTAGATTTTAATAAAGTGCAAAACGAAAATGAATCTTAGCACTGATATTACGGTATGTACCCAACTATGTATGTATGTATGTATGTATGTACTAAAGTCCATAAAGAATTTTATGTGGCCAGAATTCATATCAATCACAAAAATACGGTACATGCTATACAATAAAACCCATTCAGGTCATATGTTCAATACATAAATATCAAATATCAAGAAGCAAGAATAAACTGGCTTTCCTTAATTGACTAACAGCTCCTGCCTCGCAGTTTGTGAAATAAGCAATCGATGGCACAGCTCTGTACAACTATAAACGGTCATTGCACAAGGATATTAAGCGAGTATATGCTGGACTCTCGCAAACAAATATGTATTTAAATACATATATACATACGTACTCGTACTATGCCAGCTAACAATAGCCACTGTGGCTGATATAGAGAAGTGCATTTTGCCTTTAATGGCTGTTGACCGCTGATGATGTTATAAGAGAATTGTATTAAAAGAATGCATAAAAAATATTTCTGCCCGCATACCTACAAAAGCACATATGTACATACACACATATGTCCTGTATGTGTATACAAACATGCAAATGCACTTAGGTTGAGCCTCCTAGTATGTATAGAATGCAAGTTGTGGAATTTGAAGTGGGTCAACGTGGATTATGTAATTAAAAAAGCGACTGACATCTCTGCCTGCAAGTCGTTGCAATGAAGTAGAGCAGCAGGAATTGAATTTTTGCAAAAGCAAAAAAAAAAAACTACAGAGGCATTATTAAAAATCATAAAGATGAAAACATGCGAGTTATTTGGAATGAAAAATATAATTTGAAAGCAAAATCGCACAGCATAGTTTAGCAGATTCCGATGATCAACAGGAAATGAATTCAATACGCATTAACGACGCTGCATTTAATTTAGTATCAAAATTTTAAAATCAACTTCAGCTTAAAGAATTTGAAGCTTTTCAAAAATAAGCTTAAAGCTTAAAAATATTTCTCTCGATTGCGTACTCAGTTCAAAGTAGAACTTTTTGGGCCAGAATGATTCTCCGTTGGACTTCGGAGTATATGCAACTTATTTTCGTGCTGTCGAAAGCGTCGTTTGAAGTCGACAAATAGATGGTGAGTTTCGATCCTCTACTTGCGGGTATTTTCCAAGTTCATAGTATGGTAAATATGTACATGGTCTATTGTGGATTAACCGGGTCTATAGTCACACCGATAAGGCCCAATCACTTTGTTGCCGGTGGGCTTCAGTCTTTTACACAATACGACAACCAAAACCGATTCTTAGAAGACCGATGCGGCGGTAGTTGGTGCACATGGGTACTCGCCTATCTTGTCTACTTGGCAGCGCACACTTGAATTACAGTCGTCTGAGTGGATGAATGCACCTTAGCAATGTCTCGTCGCCACAGTCGAATAGCTCACCATGAAGACCGTCATGCCACACAGCTTTATTGGTTTTCATTATTTCGTCATAGTTAGACGGTGGGGCAACGACTTTGTCATCATCATATCAGTGCTGCTACCATTCAGGAGGGTGGAAAAGTTTTTCCTCCATAATTTAATCACGTTCTGGACGTCGGTAACTACTAACTCTCTGATAAAATTTCCGGGTATTGTTCGTGTCGGCCAGCATTACAAGCTCTTCGCACTCCCATATTTCGGAAACTCTCTTCTTATACGTCTTGCTTCCATCTTCAGTACTTAATTATCGGGAAATGTGGTTCCACTGCTCGCATATGTCGAAGAGTGCTCTCTGTGAGCTGTCGTTAGAGTCGAGTGGTACTGTCCAAGCCAAAGGAACATTGACTTTTGATCGAGACTTAGCCTTGTTTAAAGATCTCGACCTTCAAGACTAACGGCTAAGTCTTGAGCTATGTTCCGTACAAATTTAGGATTGATTGGTTTGCTAGAGTGACAAGCAATACTCAAATTTTAGTCATTTCGATATTACTCATGCAAGCCTTCAGTCATGTGGCGGTTTAATAAATTTTAATTGCGATTTTATATACATATATACATATCTACTATCGCCTTACGCTCCTCGATGCTTAATTGCTTAAATTTGCCCATTATTGTATCGAAAACAGAAAAAGATGCTTGTTTTCCTATATTGTTTTTAACCAAACGAGTAACTAATATTTTTTTCGCTTTCATTTCAGCTCTGCTAAAGTACCAACAATCACCACAACTGTACAATCATCGCTGGACTCGGACCAAACGACGCAGCTGAAAACGACACGTGATCCAGTCAAGCGTCCACCCCTCTACCGACAGGACTACTCAACCTGCGTCGACTCGAGCGAAGCACAATCGGACGATAGTCATTTAACACGCGACTCTGTTACGCGTGAATCCCAAAACGACGAACTCTCCTCGTCGACGCTCGACAAACTCGACCTTAGCACTCTACCATTACCGGCCCTACCACCAAAGAAGCGACGCACCCGTCTGCGCGCCAGTCCATCGCGGCATCACAGCGGCAGCAGTCGGCGTGCGTACGAGCATGATTTGGCTGCGCCTGTTGGCGGCGAAGAAACACGACACACAGCTGCCTCTGCTGCGCATATAAGTTTGCAAGCGGTCGCCACTGGCAGCGGTGCTGGTGGTGGTAGTGGCGGTAGCGGTGGCAGCTGTGGCGAAGCAACGCCACATCTCTCTGCCTTTCAGCAGTACGTGGCAAAGCGTCGCGAAAGTCTCGAAGCATCATCGCGCAGCTTCAACGAAAAACTGGAAGCGCGTAGAATGCATTACCACATGGGTGGTGGCGGCGGTTGCGAGAGCGGCGTTGGCAGTAACGCAAGTGGAGGACCAATGACCGGAGGTAGTACTCATATGCCTACCTATTTATTTGGTGAGCACTATTATGGAGTGCCTAAGAAGGTGACGGGCACGCGAAAGTCGCCCCACGGCAACAAGGAGGAGATTTTCCTCAACAAATCTGGTTGGGTGCAAGTGAATACGAAGCGCAATAGCGATGAGAATCGAGGCGTTGGTAGTTATCGAGCCGCAAACTATGCGCATCAGAACGGCGGCAGCATCGATGGTGAAAGTGAGCGAGATTTGCGACGTACAGTGCGCGTCATACAAATAGATAATACCCGACGGTCGGATAGGGCACGACAGGCACTACAACAACATCATCAATATTCGCTCGATCCCGCATTTGGCATGGGCAAATATCCGGCGAGCAAAGTAGAAGAGCTGATCCAACGTAATCAGGCGCGAGTCAGCAATGCTGGTGGTCCGGTTTTCGTAACGACACGTGACAATGCTCTACGGCCCGGCTATCGAATCGTCGATCCTCAATTGGCCAGCATTCTCAATGAACGTCCCGGTTTCCTGCCTGTGCGTAATTTGCACGACGCAGATTCACCGCCACCCATTACACCCATACTCTCTCCACCACCCGCCTTCCAAGACAGTAGCAAATCCAAATACATTGATCGACGTAAAACCATACCGAGTAGACAGCATCAGTCGGCGCTGACTGCCAACAATCTGCATGCAGCGAACAGCAATGGCAGCACCGTCAAGGGTATGGTATTCTCTCGAAGCTTTGAGTATGACACACGTCGAAATGCGCCAGCTGATAGTTATGTGGAAACGTTTTCGCGTAGCTTTGATGGCAATCTCTGCGAACGGCCACCGCTGCAGCGTGATCGTTCGCCCAACTTCAGCTCGCTCACCGGCAATTCACCCAACTATCTGACGAAGAAAGATTCGGGTGGCGGCAGCAGTGGCAGCTTACGTAGTCGTGACAATTCACCAAAATACCAGCATCCACAGACCACTGCCTATCTGAATGCTTCGATAAAAGAAGCGCCTCCCTCCTTTAGTTTGGCTAGCGCGAATCCCAATGCGGGCTCCAGCAGTCGCTATTCGCCGCGATCTCGACACGAACGTTCCTTCGAGCGGTCGAAGAGTCACAATGTGTTGGTGCGTTCGCGGAAGTCTCAATTCAATCGAGTGGCTAGTGGTGGTGCTACAGTGGGAATAGGTGCTGGAGGCAGCCAACCGCCGATGGTGAGCGTTGGTATGTCACGCTTTCGCAGCTTCGATACGACGGCGAGCCAGCGACTGAATTCATGCGACAGTGGAGCGAGATCAGGTGAGTTAAATTTGGGTTAAAATAATTAAAAAAAAGTATGCGAAGTTATTAGCGTCGGGCTACGCTGGGTTAGGTAGGCTGGTGGTAAAGAGTTTAAGTGGGGGAAATGAAAGGAAGTCATAATACGCAGGGCAGCTTTGAATGAAAGAAGCAATAAGATTTGCTACGGTTTGGGCAGCGGTCCAATGGTCCATTAGTTTATAAATATATCGGAAGGCTAACGTGTTTTTTTTCTTGGGAGTTTTACAGGCTCTTAATTCGTTGAGTAAAGATCAGGTACCAGCATCTTTGTTTTCTATCAGCCAAGATTTTTTATTACATAGTCACGCCCGTTGAGATGGGGGAGAGCAAGGATGCTGTTGTTTGGTTGGTTTTTTTCCATCACACAAGTATAAACCCTGAAGGTCATTTTGAGATTCAATCCCCATGCTTTTCCTCTCTATTCTTTAGTCGTTACTTTGTTGATTATCGAGTTGAAATGTGACTCCCAAGCGAATTTTCTATCCAGGGTTACGCCTAGATATCTACGCTCTTCCTTTAAAGGAATCACGGTCCCATTTATTTTTTGATCTGGAAATCAAAGCTTCCTATTTCTGGTGAAAGTAATCCTTTTTTTCTGCACCAATTTCAAGTTAAGTTTAGGGCGTCTTGCAACAAGTTTCCAACTATCCGTTCATGGTCGCCCTTGATCATAGTGGATATGTCATCAGCGTAACCTATGGTTTGATATGCTTTCGTATTGTGGGCTTGAACTAGTTCATCTGCCAAAACAGTGGAGATAGCATCCCTTCCTGTGAGCAGTCCTTTTCTGAAGTGATGCTGAGTTCTTTCGGTCCTAGGTTGGCCTTGATTGTCCTCTTGGTAAGCATATTCACTATTCACTATTGAGGAGTTTGGGAGCTTATTCCTTTCCCTTTGGCAAAAAGATTACCTTGAATTACCTTCAGCTTCTTGGAATATGTTCCAGTGTCAGGCAAGACCTAAAGATTGAATCCAAATTTTTATTGATTTTGTTTGTACCTTTTGAAAGCAGTGCCGGGAATATGCCGTCTGACCCCGGAGATTTATTTGGCTTAAACGACTTTATAGTGAAGTGAAGTGATTCCTTTAGAGTGCTCATGAGGGAGGATTCACCTTTTGAGAGATATCTTTGGATCCTAGCAGTAGCTGGAATATCCCTTAGGTCTTCACAAAAGTTTTCCAAGAATTGGAAGTTGGAGTTGGAGTTCCTTAGTTCTTAGTTCTTAGTTCTTTAATATATGTTTGTCCTCTTGGCCTTGTCAGCTTTCGCAGGCGCGCCTAACAACATGCAACATCTAGTTGTATGCCTATCATACTGCCAGCGTTGCCGGATTGTATGTTGCCTCTGCTACTTTTCCATATTGTAAAATTTTACGCCCCGCTGGCTTTCGTTGAGAGGATTTTGGTGACCAAAGTTTTGCGTAGCGATTGGCAGAATTGCACCGCGGATCTTATAGTAAAGGTGAACACCTCCTTCTTTACTCTAACTTCTCTTCCTGATGCTCTCTCCCTCTCTTCCTGATGCAAAAATAAATACTTTTTCGTAATAATCGTATTCTGTCAAGAATTTTTTTAATTAAATTATCCATCTTTATTCCATTCGTTTAATAGTCGTATTTCAATGGGCTTAAACTTTAATCCCAAACTCCCACTTGCATAACTAAATGCAACAAAATAAAACTTATAAAAGTCTTATCCTTTTACAGACATATTTATATTGTGCATAGATGTAAGTACCCGGTCGGGAAGTAACGTTTTTAGCTGCAATAAAATACGTATTTTTTAATAACTTCAAACGATTGAAGTTCGTTATTTTTTCTTGTAAGCAAATGACTTTATTACCACGGTGATGTCGTAGGAGATGTCAATTGTCGGACTCTTCAAAGAGCTTTCAAATCTGCGGCCGAAATTCATATTAAAAAACTAGAAGTAAGGAGCTGAACAATCGCCTGCTGCATTTTTTTCTAAGAAATTTATTTCCAACCACTTTTTCAATTGGATAGTTTGTGAGAATACACACCGACATGCACACATACATACATACATTTAAAATCTCGCCCTTTTCATCGCACTTTAAATGTCCTTCTCTGCCAGTAACTGCTGCGTTGGCGACGAGAATTTTGCATTTATCAAAGCTGTATAGGGCTTTAGCAGCAAGCTTCTCGTACGAGTATTCATACCGTTGTTGCGCTTCATTGCACGCACACAAAATGGATTTGACTTTTGCCAACGATGAATGGATAAAGCAACGGGCGCGTGTTCTCGTGCACACATGCATACATACTTACTAGGGATGCCAAAATATGAGGAAAATTGTGATGTGTGTGTGTGTGTGTATGTGTCCTTGAAAGGAAAATTAGCTAAGCCCAAAAAAAGCTCCGAAAATTCGATAAGGTCAAAACAGTTCGAAATCTTTTAATAAAGATCGAATCTTTTTGATTCGTATGAAATTTTGATTTGCTTTAAACAGGCAAAAAGTTGTATTCAAATATTGGCGAAATACGTGAATGTGCAAATTTTAAATTGGCACTTAGCAACTTTGCACTCAAAGCTAGCGATATTTATTAGGTTGAGAGACTCAACTAGCACACATAAGCCCTTGGTTGTGGGCCCGTTGTGATACCACGCGGATCCTCAGAACCCTCCTACTCAAACCATCGTGTGGATTTCGCGAAACCTAGTAGTTGCCGTATGCCTACTTCAGCTATGTCGGTTAGGTCCTCAAAGAATCCTGTACCCATAAACTTTTGTCTTCTCTTTCTGGCTCTTCTTCGTTCCTGTAACTTCTACATAAGTCGTTGTGGGGACCCGTAACCTATCTGCGTGACTTCCATGGCCTGTTAGCAGACCCACAGCTGCTGAGCATGAGAAAGTCCCTCTGATGGAGTTGTACTACGCCTAGATATTTTGCGGACCCCCTTAGCTTCAGTATTCTATTGCCTATAGCAGGGAGCTGAAGTGGTGGGCTTATGTACTTTCTGGTAAAGAGCACCAGGTCCGTTTTGTCTGGGTTAACACCCAGACATTTCTCCTTGGTATATCTTTCGATTGACCGTAGTCTGTCCTGCATAATGTCACACAGAGTTTGCGGAAATTTTCCACTCAATACCACCGCAAGGTCGTCGGCATACGCAATGATCTTGAAGCCTCCCCCCGCCTCTTCCAGGGTCTGCAATAATTAATTTATCGCAATGACCCATAAAAGGTGTGTCTGGTTAAAAACACACATCCTCTTTTTGTGCTGGTGTTGTTCTTATTGCACTTAAAATGTTTTCGTAAGAGCAGCAAAGCATTCAAAGCAGAGTCTTCTACTCTTGACCTGAAGTTTTTACACACAAATCCTACTGATGAAATACATATTTCGGCCTCAACACTTTTAGGCTGAACTTGCAAAAGGTAGTCATAAGCCATTTGAAGATAATGACCCCTATTAAAAATTATTTGACTTTTTTCTACCAGCACGTCGGAAAAATTATAAGTTTTTCCGAATTGAGGAAGTTTTGAGTATACTGATGTTAAAAATTATCTAACTTTTCGTTAGAGAGTTTTCTCTCTGTTTCGTTTAAATTAACGACGCTATGAGTAAATTCTTTATAATCTTCTTCAAAAAAGGCTCAGACTGCAATTTAAGCTTTAAGTTTCAAGCTTTTTTGTTAATTGTAGTCCAAACGGCATTTTAAAAAAAAATCATACTTGAAAATTCATAAACAAGTCCTTACTATCAATTCTATATTTCAAATTTTTCGTGACCTCAAAAACACCGGGTTTGGCATCCCTAATATATACTTACATATTCATGCATATGCATACAATATAGTCCGTCATACATATTTAAGTATAGACGTTTGTCTATGAATGAGTGAATCCTTGAAACTTGTGTCGACTTTTGCAATGAGCGAACATGCACATCTGACGCAATTTCGCCGAATGCATTTCAAATAATTTAAAGTTGAATTTAAAACTTTTTCAATTGCCACCCACTGAGTTGAGTCAAGCTGTAAAAGAGCACGGATATGCATACTGAAATCTGAATGCAAATGTTATACCATGTGATTTATATTTTTAAGAAACTTTGGTAAGCTAATTAATTAGACCTGCCTGCTGTCACCATTAAACCTCGGTTCGATTTCTGGGTCGAGGATATTCAAAAATTGTTTGGTTACCGGTAAGTGACGTGGTATGGACATTGGTTCACTTGTCAAATTATCCCTTGACTAAGTATCGATGAGAAGCAACAAAAGCCAAGGCGCCCGCGAACACCGTCAACACAGGGCCTAAACAACTGGAGGAACTTCACTAAAAATAGAAGCAATTGAAAAAGTTTTTCATTTAAGTTTGTACACGACATTTTCATAACGACTTCGGGATTAGTTTTGGATCACTTTGTGACCAAATCGTCCTGAAGTGGTTCTGAAAAAGTCGTGAACTTGTACAGAAATTATCTTCGAACAAGTCCTGAAACGATCCCGGTATCGTATCATACTAGTTCAAAAATTAACCTGAGCTAGTCTTGAAATGCTACTTACTTGTCCCAAACTTATTTGTGGTGGTGAGCTATCCCAAAATTGTGCTGAAATATTACCGAAGTGTTTCTGCACTAAATCCGATACGAACCCTAACAAGTCTCGAAATAGTCCTGAACTAGTATCGAAATGTTCCTGAAATATTTTTTAACTAGTCCCAAAATGGCCCTCAAAAAGTTCCGCAATGGCTGTGAAGTAGTAATGAACATGTCCCTAAAGTATCCCTAACAGGCCCCGTAACGGTCGAAAACATCGTAAACTTATCCCGAAATAATCTCAAACATATTTTGAAACGGTCCCTAAAAGGTCCTGAACAGGTCCCAAAGTGATCTCAAACTAGTTTCAAATTGATCCTTAGATAGTCCTGAACTAGCCTCTAAATGGTCCTGAACTAAACCCAAAATGATCCCAAACTGGTTGTTTTGAAATAGTCTTGAACTAATGTCGAAATAGTCAATTAGTCGTTAACTGTTCCTTAACAGGACCCGAAATGATGCCGAAAGGATTTCCTCATAAGTGTTTTTAACCCATCCTGAATTTTTGATTATCGTAGAAGTGGTTCTCCAGAAATTGGATTTCAGTGCTGAGTGCTCACACAAGAAGTACTGAATCTCAAGGAGGCAGTATGTTTTGACCCACTTTCCCAGTTCTATCCAACATCCATTTTCCACTTACTTGTCTACCTTCACATTTATCGGACTATCGCTAAATATGTAGAGATTGACTACATGCTGACAAAGAGATTGTAAAGATCTTCGGTATTCTTGACACGCATATCAAGATAGCCCTTAGCGACCAAAGAGCCTTGATCGCAGCTTTCTTGTCCCAATGTACATTTTTGACCATCCATAAAGATCGGCATCTCATCACCGCTTAGGGTGATGTTAAGTTGCTAGTCACTTCTATCGTAAAATCGAATCCCAGAGTTGTGATCAAAGTCAACTTCCGTTATCTAATATTCGCTAACGTGGCTCCTGTCAATCGCTCGAAGACTGTTAGACTTCCTAAGTCTAAAAGCATTCTTAGCTGTAGTACTTTTCACGTAGGTGGAATTCACAGAAGTATACCGATGCTTCCCTTACTCAACATATGACAACTCATGAGAATAGCAGAGGATATGGATTGCAAATAAACACTGATAAAATCGCTGTCATAAAACAAATATTTATTGTATAGCCCTTGTCTTTCCAGCTTAAGAGATGAAAACCAGTTTTACCTCCCACTATAGCACTGGATTATATGTAAGTATGTTACTAAGAAGAAGACCACTCTCTTAAATTATCGTTGGCCAAAGTATTATTGTAGCTATTTCTCTTTGAACCATAATTTGGATGATTCCGTCCAGATCTGTCAGTAGGTTGTCTTCTCCATACTGCTGCGTTCAGTATAATCTGCTGCTGGTTTCCCCAGAAATATGGAAGAAAGGCATCTTTGCAAGCGAGGTTGAAGACCGCGATGCCTTCTTAGCCTTTTCTTTGTCATTCCGGAATTTATCCAAACATCGTAATTTAGTGTTCCAGTCTCCTTTGTTCCATAAAAGTCGTTTGCTCTATAAAAATCATCACTATCTGTTGCTCTAGCTAACTTTAGTCTCGCCGCCCACAACTTTGCATGACATTTCAATACCTTTGAATGCTTTTAATACCAATTTTTTTTTCTTTTCTTTTCTCAGATCTCTCCAACGACGAGTTAGATTGCGATGACGATGTAGGCTCCAATGAATTCCTCACCGCCAATTATCACCACAGCATATCACCGTTAAAAACGCAACGCCAGCGTTCACTTACACCAGATCGCAACGAATCGCATAGCTCATCGAGTAGCATAAGAAAGCAGCGTTCTCTCACGCCAGAGTCACGATCGCTCACGCCAGAGGACCGACGACGAAAAGGCGGTTCGCAAGCATCGCTTATGGGATCGCGACAAAATTCAAGTTCTCGCAGCAATACGCTCGAACGTAAGCAGCGATTAACTGAAGGACAGCCATCAGCGAACATATCGCGCAGCTCCTCGAGCTCAAGCTACAGTGGTGGTGGCGTCGTTGAGCATGACGGAGGCGGTGGCGTAGGTGCAGGTGCAGGTGCAGGTGCGGGAATGCCAACAACTTCTGTAGTAGGTGTTGTTGGTGTTGGCGCTGGAGGTACAGGTGGCGGCATTGGAGGTGTAGTCGCTGCTATGCCCGGCAGTGGTGGACGCTCACAACATCGACGTTCCCTTGGGCGAAACGCCAAGCAGGTGGATGAGCATCGCATAAGGAGATCTAGGTGAGTGAACAGCATTTTAGCAATTAGCTAGTCACAGATTTTATGTATGTTCCATATTTTAAGTTGCAATAATGAGACTTGGCGTCATTTTTTTCTCTGCTCCACAGATCTCTACAGCTTAGCGAACGTTCACCCAATCGCACACACAAAGTCATTGTATCCATGGGCCAATCACAAGGCTCTGGTGTCGCTTATCACACAGCGAATGCGCAGCCAATTTACCAACAAGCCGCCGTGCGCGTAAGCAATGGCGGCGCTGCAACAGCCCGCCCACCCATACGCACCAGCAGCAAGTCGCAGTCATTGCTGTTGACCAGCAGTAACTCTGGTGCCGGACGTACGCGCAATAATGACATCGATAAAAGTCGCTCCTTCGACTTTGACTACTGCAATTACAATAATCAAGTCGCGCTGAAGGGGCATAGTCACGTAAGTGGCAGTGGCGGCGCGGAGGTGGCGGCAACAATCAGAATGTGCCTATGCGCTTGGACTTTGACAAGAGCCGCTCATTCGACGAGGACTACAGAGAGCCGCTGAGTAACGTCAGCAATACATTGACTGCAGCGAATGGCATGCGTTACTTGCAGGCTGTTGCCGATGGCAGCGCAGCAACAAAACCAGTCGCCTGCGGCGTTCATCACCCGTCGGCAGCGGTGAGCGAAACTCACGCTCGCCGCAATCTCCGGCTCGTCGTGCAACAATCTCAACTTACCACGGCAATCAACAAGTCCCCAGAGTTATGGCACGCGACTCTGTGATCACGAGCTCACCTACGACATGCTGCGCAAATCACTCGATCGCTCGCCGATCATGGACTTTCGACGCGGTGACAGCGGTGAATACGATTTGCCGCCAGCGCTGTTGCGCAATCGTGAAACGATCAACAGTGGCGGCAATAGTGAGTTGAATTTCTTTAACAATGACACAACACACATCTACGAGCAGCCAACGACCAAGGTGACAACGACTGCAGCAGCCGGCTCCTTGAAGCAGCAACGTTCGCTGGGCCACACACATAGTCCGAGTGAGTCGCAATACTCGTTAGAACGGCAACACGGCAATGCGTCGGGACGTGAGAGTATGACGCCGGAAGGCGCAAGTGGCGATTATCGCAGCGAGCATGTCTACCGACATCCGCATACGCGGGAGTCATCACGAGAGGGAGGAAAACGTTGCAGCGGCAGCAGCAGTAGTCGCAACAGGTATTGAAGCGCTGATTACGCAATCGAAAGTTGGATGCAAAAGTAATGAGTATCTAGTACGTTGCGTGGTCGAAACCTGCATGCAAACCTGCGCGATCACTAACATACTAAATATACTTTGACTGCCTTATCCTGCCTGCCTGCCTGCCTGTCTGTCTGACCGATTGACTGAGTAGCTGCACGCCGTTAATATTAACAAAAGACTAATGCAAATCTTTTAATCACTAACAGTATGTAGATAACAATAGTTCTGGCTGCTGTATGAATAGAACGAAAGTAACTCACCATAGCTGTGCAGCTGATATTGTATAAATTTTCACGTCACTCCCCCTCTCTCTCTCTCACACACTCTTCCAATCTCTTTCCTTCACGTTGTTTCATTCACGTGTATGGTGTACTAAATGTCCTTCGCACCAAGTCTAACATCTCACCACGGTCACAACCACTTCAACTCGAAATGCACGAAAATCATCAAACTAACTGAAATGCAACGCTGCTGCAATTACAAATCAAACTAGAAGGCAGCACTAACCGTAACATGCTCCCCACATATATTGTAATATTTAACCAAAAGTTATTCACCAAAATAATACCTATAGCCAAAAACTATTAAAAAAAATGTGAACAAGTTTCGAGATATTATAGAAATTTAAGTGTTTGTGTAAACGCGCCCGAAGGATGCGACTAATTTCTAAGAAAAATTAATAGAAATGTAAAAAGTGCAACTCTGTATGGTGAATATGTCTAAAATAATGCAGTTAATAAATGTGCAATCTGAATGAATTTCGAAACCCAAAGTAGAAATAACTTTACACTTACTGAAAAAATATAAGTAGCAAGTAAGTGTTCAATAATAAGTGTGGTGAATATAACAATTAACCTAAAAATGGTAGTGACTACACATTTTCTGCCTAAAGACTGCTTTAAATGAACAAATGTTAAAAAAGTAATTTGGTACCCCAACCTTAAAAAAAAAAAACACCTGAATTCTTTCAAATTTTATAAGTAGTTAATAGCAATAAGAGCGAAAAAAACGAAAAGTAAAAATCTAGCGTGATAATTTCATAAGAAGTACATACACACATGTGTACATAAATAAGTAATATTAGCAATATAAGCATAAATTAACCACCAATTAAATGCACCGCAATAATTAACAAACACCAAAAAACACCCGTTTTCAAAGTTATCTACGGTTAACATCACTAACCACAATAAATTAGTTTGCCCTAAAAAAAAATCAATGTGTTATATAAAAACATTTTCTACAAAATATATATTTCCCACATTCCTTAGTGCTATGTATGACAACTGGTCATCGCTTTCGAAACTCACCACTAACAACACCAGCGCTTTTTGTTTGCATACGTATGTACATATGTCGCACTCACTCCACGTTGCTCAAAACTCTCACCACTCACTGCTCTATCACTAACAAGCATCGCCTAGATGTACTCACAAAGGATTATGAAAAATGCTTAACACCTTCATAAAAAAAAAAAAATTAAAAATCACGACCACCTTCACCGGCACCACCAACATCACTACTAACCCACAATCACTATACCCATGCAATTCCAGTGCTCTACAGCACGCTGACTACGTCTTAATACAACTCTTTTCTCCTTCTTGTTCTTCTACTCCACATCACTTTGGGGTGACAGTAAAAGATTTACCACACCAACAAAAACATCCTTGCCAACAACTCAGTTACCAACAGCGACGCCAACGAAACCGCAACAAAAAAACATTTTGAAACGTCAGGAGGCGCTGCTGAAATCTCCAACCACCTGTTCGTTTTGGCCAAATTGTGGCGCTTGTGCTGCAAATGCTGTGACACACGCACACCCGCACGCCACAGCCAAACGGCACACCTCCCTGCAGGATTCCCAACAATTGTCATTGAATTGTGAGCGCACAGCCGTAAGCAACCCGTCTTTGTGTCGCAATCATTCCGCACGTGCAGCCAATGGTTCAATCGAATCAGTGTCATACGTGAAAAGTGCGCGTGACAAGAACTCGCCTCACACCTCAAACACACCACACAGCGCGAGCATTTCCACAATCAGTGTCAATTCTAATTTCAACAATGTCGGGTCACATAAAGCAATTCGCCGCCGTGGTAGTAGTGTTGCCGAGTCGCAAACAAGCAAAACATTGGCAGGTGTCACTCGTAGTAAAACACAATGGACGCTTTTGTGTAGCGGTGCTACGCTTATGGATAGCATAGAAGAGTGTAACTCTACTAGGGGTGGAGCATCAGCAGCAATAAACAAGAGTGCAGCCAATTACAGCAACAACAAACTTACAGTAGATACCAAGAACACAAGTGACAACTTGTCTGCGTCTGTTCCTGCTGTCAAATCGACCACTTTACCGTTAGCTGGCACTTCAACGATATTTTTAGGCGATTTCGAAATGCCAATAACGCGCGACCGTGAAACAAATATGACGAGTAAGAAATATAGCCGAGAACGTGATCGGGAACGGGAACGAAGTCGTGCGCCCGAATACACTCGACTTCCGTTACAGCGAGATATTTTAAGCGTAGACGACTACCGAACGATTAACGAAATACAAAATAATGATGACTTCGATATTCATGTTCGCGATGAGATATACGATTCGATTTACGCAAGGCAGCGCGAAGCTGTGGAGATAAATAGGTAAGTGACGCATTAAAAAATCGATAATAACCACACATTCGCTAAATGTCAAGCGTTTTTGTTTATCCGATTTGTGCCTCTCAAAATAAAAACTTTCACGTTCAAATTTTTATACTTTCTTAAATCAAATCCTCACAATCTAGTTAACAGAACTTTTTTAATAACAAGTCACATAATCTGCGGAATTATTTTAGAAATCTCCAAAACAACCTACTTTGGAAGTCATCCGAGACAATCTAGACAGGGGTCAAGCATTCCCCGGCCAGTTACGATCCTACTATGAGCGGCCGTGTAAGTCTGATTGCCGCCTGGCTAGCTGTCAATGTACATAGTTATTTACCCTTTTAAGCGGTATTATACTGCAGCGCAGCCAGTCGACTGCCAACTTTTCACCTGCCACCAACTACTGCCACTCTTGTTTCGCGCTTTACACCCTTGGTTTTCTTATTTAGCGCTGTTACCGCCTAAGCGACTTTGGGCCGAGTTGAACAAAGCATGCATGCTCGCCGTCGCCAATACGTACAGGTCGGTAAATCTTCCGCAAGCTGTTTCTCCCGAATACTCCAAGAGCCGCCTCATCGGTTGTAATTTTCCATGTTCCATATACCAGCATGGACATTATAGAGTGTGGTTCCAAAGCGATTCTGCGTTGGATTGCGCTGCTAACATTATTACCGGTGTTAATTCCAGTTCCCAAGTAAACGAAATTCTCTCTGCGCTGTCTGATTTTTTGATGGCAGGAGATACTTCGTCTTGTCCTCGTTTACCACCAAACCCATTCGCTTTGCATCCTAATCCAACTTGGAAAAGGCAGACAAGACTGCGCGGTGTTACCGATGATGTCGATGTCATCGGCGTACGCCAGCAATTGCGCGCTCTTGTAGTAAAATGTTCCTGGGTGGTTCAATTCTGCGGCTCTTACTATCTTCTTCAACTTCAGATTAAAGAAATCAGACGAAAAGGATTCGCTCTGTTGTGAAACGGCGCGGAGAGGTCTTTCCCATTTCTGACAAAAGTGGTGGCATTCCTCAACGTCATGCGGCGGGGATGCCAAATTCAGACATCACGGCGTATGGGCAAATCCTTTTAGTGCTGTCAAAAGCGGCTTTGAAATCGACAAATAAGTGGCTATCATTTTCTTACGGGTCTTTTCCAAGATTTGGCGTAATGTGAATACCTGGTTTATGGTATATATGTCAGGTCTAAAGCCACACTGATAAAGCCCAATCAGTTCGTTGACGGTGGGCTTCAAGGAAAGTCAAGACTAGCGTGGACTCCTGTAAGAACAACCATGGTGACCCTCCGTTTCATGACGTAGAATACTGACTTTCTTTACTATCGCGCTTTTGGCTGCTTTCACAGCTACCATCTCAGCCATCTCCTTCGGTATTTCAAGAACGCCCGGTGGAGTGTCTCGCTTGATTGCCTTCACCTTCGGTTCCCTGCCCTGGTGCACGCGCACTGGAACACTACCAAACCTGTATCGTGGGATACAGTTTTTGCTCCTGATAGCTTCCAACGACCGGTCGTTTCTCATCCTTGCTTCTGAATACCTTCCTCAAGTCGGTATACATTGCCTCATTCTTATCTATAATGAGGTTCCACCGCTGTCTGATTCTGCATCCATGCAGTCAACCAGTATGAGGCCTGGCCGAAGTGGATGCCCAGTCAGGATTATTTTGAGGGGTAGCGAAAACGGAATGGGTAAGGATTAAGGATAAAGATGTCGGTACGGTGATCTCGCATGGAAACCAGAGTGGCTAGTGAGGTTGATACAGTGGCATCAGGTCATTATACAAGCTTCCTTCTTAGTTCGTGGCGATCTGTCGGTTGCCGAAGTAGCAGCTATAGTACCACTTAAGCCCCATCCCCTCGGCAAGGAGACCGACAGTGACGAAGCTAATGATAACTAATACTAGACATTTGCTAAGTTAAACTCAGATCTCTGCTATTTTTCTTTTTCTTTGTGACGTTGTTTCACAGAAAAATACATAACAACGTTCCTTTTTAAATACTGTCTCTTCAGATTTTTGCATTTGCAGCGTCATCGAGGCTGCCATTGTCTATATAAACTTCTGGGAAATAGTCAACCATAAGAAAATATTTATGTTTGGTCTAAAGGCAAGCTAAACAACAGCGTTTATTACACGCCTGTGTGGTCAAACAGCGAAAGCGTAAGTAATAAGCAGATGCATAATTTTATTGTGAGTCATTTTATTCAATGTCAGTCCTCGAATGTCCACGGTGTATCCTATCCCTAGCAGTGTCACAAAATCTTAATGAGTTTATACCATAAAACCAGCATACCGTAAAACGTTAAATGTGTACCTAATCGGACAAATGCATTGCGATGAATCGAAAGTTTTCAAAACTTCGCCAATTGTCCTGCACTTGCCTGCCCATTTATTCAAGCCGCAACTGCCCGTATATTCCAATTTCTATGTGCCTTTTTAGAGTACTTGTATTCCAAGTATTCCCTCTGCGTAAATAAATATGCAATTATCTAAAAAGAGTTAAACAAAATGGTTTCATTCAAATAATGACGAATTTAGAGAATCCGCAAAACCTCCATAAAACATGCTTGCCTCCCCCACTCATACAAGCAAATCCAAACGAGTATATGTACATATTTATAAATAAGTATGCGGGATAACTACGAGTATCCAAATTTTACGAGCATCGCCACACAAAACTCACCAAAAAAAATCCATTTGTTAAATCGCTAACATTTCAATTTTCAACCTCGAATGTCAATAACTATCTACATACAAAGAAGAAATTTATACACCTACATACATTTGTGCATACATATACTTTACTACCGATTTTAACAAATTCCCATTTTCTATTTGTGTTTACAACAAACACGTGTGTATGTAGCTGCAACATGGTGGCAACTAGAACTAAAACCAGCAAATATGTACCGACAGCTGCAGTAAAAGTAATGGAAACAGCTACAAAAACCGCAACATCAACAACATCAGCTTTCACCGAACATGCAAAACCATTGCCAGCAACGCCAACAACTGTTACTGCTGCAGCAGCGTGTGGTATGCCACTTATGCGCGCTCGTGACTGGCAAAGCATCTCACTGCCGAATATTTTGTTATCGAGTTATGGGTGAGTAGAATGAATACTTATGAATAAGTATATCCTTATACCCACATGACTTATCTACATATAATGATATACACACATATCTGCCACATATATACATTAGGGTGGGCCAATTTGTTCTTAAACAATATAACCGACTTTGTTTCGGCGACTGCAGTATTCTACTGGCAATACTGATCAAAAAAGTCCATGGAAGCATAGCTCTAAAATAGATTTCGAGCCTCCTTATTTTTAATTTTATTTATTGATTTATAACCAATTTCTTTTTTATATTTGTTAAAATCTTTTTTGGAAGGAAATTTATATATGTCTATTTTGCCTACGACCAATTGGACGAGTGTTTTAAAGCAAATAATTTATCGCTGTCCGACTTATTTTGACACTTTTACCACGCTTTTCTCAAAGGTATCAAAAATAATTTTAAATTCTTGCCGCATCAAACTTAGTTTTGCTCTGTGCAATTAGATGATGATGCGTGGCAGACTGTGGCAACCCTGAACGAAATTATTTATTAAATTGAAGACAAAATGTTACCAAGGACTTTTTAAACAGCTTTCATCTAATATTTTAATATTTTTTTACGTTTTTCTTATTGCTTACGTTTGCATGAGTACCTTTTTTACTATTTTATATTTTGCAAACATTTCATCAGTTATATTTCAACTCTTTTAATCTTCAGTATAAAAATTAATATCAGTGGACCATTTAAAAAAAAACTCAGGATCAAAGTGTTTTTAAACAATTCGTTTGAAAATAAATTGTAAATACATACGTAGTGCATTTTCATAAAGCATTTTCAAACGCCTTTCGTTCGGTGCCCATTTTACTTTGCCATATTCACTTTAATTTTAAATTTGTTGTCTTAGATTGGTGGCAACGCTATGGAAAAAATATTTCATAATCAAAGATTCTCTCCGTTTCATTCCAAGCTTGTAATATTGCATATACCTTATCAATTTAGTACCGTTTTCTTAAGTAGCTCAAGTGCTCTTCAAGATATATTTTAAATTTAATTGAATTAAATTTTTCAAACAGAAAGTATTTAGAAATTAAGCTATCTTAAAACACTTTATTTTTACACCCATGTCGTAATACTTCATTTATCTTATCATATGAATCGATTTAAATTCTTCAAACAGGTGGCAAGCCTCTTTAGGAATATTTTCCAAACTAAGCTTTCTAAACCACTTTGGTTTGACACCCATATTACAACAATTCATTTACCTTATCAATTAAATTGAATTAAATTTTTTACTTTGGACTAATCAAGTTATCGAAAATTCCCATACTTACAAATTTTACGTCAACAGTATTACCCAAAATCGTCTAATTTACACCAAAGACAGAATTGAAAAAATAGGAAGTCCCATAGCGAAAGAAATAATTACTTCCGTTCCAAGTTCCAATTTTGTACAAAAAATAAATAAAGTATTTAAAAGAAAAATTATTCAAAATAACGCCTGAAATGATAAGAAAACGACGCGCCCAGTCGAGTTACCTTCGGCGGACGTTTTAGAGCGACTGGTAATAAGAAATCGATGCTATGGCAATATTACCGGCAATAAATTTGTTTTCGAGGGCGAAACATTATCTTATTGCCGGCAAAAAATAATTGTTTGGTGGGTCAGTATGTATAAGATAACTTATCTTTGATATATTTGTACATTAATTAGACCGCGTCGGTTCCCAAACTATGTGCATTAGGATGTACCAAAAAAAGGTTTAATATCTTAAGCCTTCACCTCTTGGGTTTTCAAAATGAAAAAAAAAAGAATATCAGTATTTTTTTGTTAAATAAAAAGATATTTATATATCGATTTCATATCGGAAAACACTTTTTCGTAGAAATGGCATAGACTTCTTCAAAATGAATATTTGTGAGCGGAAAACTCGCTTTCAACTTTCCTCTTCAGGAATTGTTTATTTTACCATTTTTTAATACTATAGATTTTTTGTTGGTCCTCCAATTGTATTTTTTGATGTTTCTCGGGATTCTTCAAAAAATAGTTAATATTAAAAAATTGCTAAATAAACAATTGGATATTGTTATTGGAAGTCTCCTGAAGAGAGACTGATCGAAAAATATTTATTATCAAGAATTCTATACCATTACATGTAGGCCACCCTAATGCACAGACATGCAAACAACCTGGCCTCCGATACGTACGATGCATTTAAGCCATTTATCGGAAGTATCCCTAAAACCTTTTCTCTGTTTGGTAGGTACAATGAGCAACTTTTTTTTCATCGGTAGAGGATTTTGTTGTCCGCCAAGTTGGCTATAATTGAGCTTTACCTGATTGTCTTTATACTCAACTGAGGTTAGGTTAGGCGGTAGATACAGGAAGCACACACTTATGTATGCTCCGTACACTTTGTGATGCGTCAGAGCCTATTTCGTTTCGCATATTTCTTTAAAGCCAGTTTGGACGCCTAGAATAATTTCCTAATTTTTCTGATTTCTAAACAATGCTCTGAAATACAGTCGTTATGACCGGCGGCATTCCGGAATGGCTTTGGAGGTATGAAACGCTTTGCACAGTTATTTTACCTACCACTTTAAAACCCCTACCAATGAAAGGTTCAATTCAGGCTCGGATGATGACGAGCACGGCAAACGATTAAAGGACTATTATTTGACGGCATCCACCTGAAAGGTCCGGACTCTTAATGGTTGTAGTTCTCGTAAAGACTAAGGCAGGCATCACCGCCATCCAAAAATTCTTGAACATCTCATTCATTTGCGCCCACGCCCCGTAAGAAGAGAAGAACAAGGCGCGTCCAAGGATCTCTTATAGTATGCTCGGAAGCCCACACAGGCCTTTGGTTTCAGACGTCGTCGGCATTAGTACGGATAAAAGCGGCCCGACCTTTGTTGTGGCTAGTACTTTTTAACGTAAAAGTTAAATCAAACGTACGTAAGTACATGGCGTATGAGTAACATTCCCATCTCGTCCGGGGAACTTATACGCCATGTACTCACGTACGTTTGTTTTTAACATTACCGTGAAAAATGGTATATCAAATATGGATCTTCCATTTTGAATTTTTAAACTCTGATTTCAGATTCATAATCAGCAACCGCAAAAACTCGTAATTGTAAATTTTTAAGCGAATCCAATCGGTTTTGATTTTTTTATTCGCCATTTTGGGTCCGCCATTTTTAATTTCTCCAATCTGACTTCAGATTCGATTTTGATGAAAAAAGAACTACTTCAGATTCGTAATCAACGACCCAGAAAACTATGTCGTGATTTAGCTTTCTGTCACCATTTGCAGAAAGAAATTAATAAGTAATCTTCTTTGTGAAAAGAATAATAATAATAAAGCGGTACCAGTAAAGACGCCATTTTGAATTTTTTAATGCGCCATCTTTTTATTGAAAGTGCATTGGTTTACAAGAAGCTTTGCGCCGGCTGGCGTGAGTCGCGACATATACATATGTATGTTCGAATTCACTAAATCATTTCAAATTTATCACTTAAGTCATTTCACAATTTTTCTTCAAATTCAGGCCATCCATTAGAGGATGAATATTTCTTGAAAGTGCTGCGTTTAGCTACAACCGGCATTGTTTGCCAACAAAAAATGCATCTTCCTCAACATGATTCTCGCATATTTTTGATGAATATGAAAATTTCAACCTACTTCTTTTTTAGGCGTACACTTTAGGTGACGGAATTTTAAAAGTTTTGACACAACCAAAAAAACACAGATTTTTTGAGGTGTTAGTACTTTGCACACATGTTTGAATACATTTTGGCGGGAAAGAGCTGTCGCTGGCAAAATAAGTATGACTAAAAAACACCTACCTGAGAGATCAGCCTGTACATAAAAAAAAGTATTCATTATTTCAATAATAAAATAAATGTGATTATAAAGTAATAGTAACTATTTAATGATATCAAACCTAATAATTTTGTATCTACATCTTATTAAAAGTGCCTTCGTCCACAATGAAAACTCAAACTAAGATACATATCTTCCTATTGAACTTTGCACATTTTTGTTAGCAACGCGTTGAATTTCACTTTGGCTCGCCGCCTCTGTTTCAAGAATCGTTTGCACTATTTGAAACTAGCTCCCCTCCTACATTACTACAAGGTATATATGTAAGTACATACTTGTATAAATATGTAAGCAAAAAAAAAATTATTAAAACAAAAAGACCAAGTTAAAACAACCTATGCAACCTATGAGAAGAAAAAAATATTCAACAAAAATATCAAACTTTTAACAATGAAAACTTTTCTAAAGTGTTGAACGCTTTTAATTTTCGTGCTATCGACATTGGACAGACAATAAGCGCGACACCTGCAATAGATGGCAAACGGATTGCGCTGACCTTAAAACAATGTTGGTGCTGCAAACAAACGGCAGGTATGCTGTGAAAGCGATGTTTTTGTTTCTACATGAACGATTTTTACGTTGGATGTAACTAAATTCTATGGAAAATTTATGTACTTTCGTTACACAGTGTGTAAATTAAAGTTCAACTCTTCAAACATTATTTCATTGGTTGCAATTTGCAAGTTAGTTAGAAACATGCAATGTGTATGTAGTAGTTTAACACTACACAAAAATCTTAACAAAATGCATTGCCCTACAAAAAGTTTTTGCCAATCCGGTACGACTCCGGGGCATCAATCAATACTACTTTTGATCGCTTTATATGGAATGAACTGTTCGCTTTTGTTCCGGCATATCTTATGACGAGTCCTATTGTTCCTATTTATACCCAAACCGGCCAGCTGAGATGCGAAGAGCGGATCTGTCTGATTTTGCCAATTAGCTTGATTTAGGAGGTATTTATGCGAGTCAAACGGACCTCAGATTCGGAATCAGTGTGTCGAAATACATGTCGGTAGGTGGGTCTGGTTAAAAGCACACACCACTGTTTCTTTGGGTGCCGGTGTTTATACCCGTATGAGATTAGTTGCGACTAGTTGATGTCCAATTGTAGTGCATGTCGACTAATCCCGGAATACTCTTTTTAACTTAGT